CCCCAAAACCCCAAAACCCCAAAACCCCAAAACCCCATAAAACATAATAAGTAGTATTTTTATGAAATAAAGTTTGCTTATTATAATGAAATTAAGGATAATAAAAAATAAGAGTATTAATTATTCATTATTACTGTTGTTACTACAGTGGGATTGGCTTAATTTCTGAAGTCAAAGACGGCTTTTACTTTTTCTAGATTACTCCTTCCATTTTGTCAAACTTGTTTTGAACATCAATTGAGTTTCTTCTCACCTTGATTTCAACAAACATTGACACTGGTCTTTGAATCTTTTCAATGAGTATTTGAGTTGCTCTTTCTCTGACATCCTTGATAATTCTTCCTCTTTCACCAAGAAGCATTCCTTTTTAGATGTCATTCTTGACATCTAAAGCGATATCAACTCTCAATTCACCATTTAATTTTGGAACCCATCCAGTGCACTTGATTCCAATTTGATAAGGAATTTCTTTGAAAAACTTCTCAAAAATAGCTTACTTCATTGACTCCTCGACTTTATCTACTTCTGATTGTTTGCTTTTTTGCTCGGGATGATATTACCAAGGCTTATCTTTAGCTTTGGACATTAGGTAATTTCTAAGTTAATCCATACCAAATCCTGTCTAAGCAGATACATGGAATATCTTCTCAAAATTTCCTAAATCCTCTAATTCATTTTGAAGATCTCTTAACTTTTATTTGTTTGTAATCAAATCAACCTTATTTAGAACCAAAACAGATGGCAGATTGTAGGTTTAGAAGGCTTTTTCTTAGTCATTCATTTCATAAAATCCTTCTTTATACTTTTATTCAGTAAATGAATCGTCAAGCAAAGCATCTAATATCTTTTGATGTTGCGGATCAATTTAAATTTCCTTCAATCTTTATATAGATTGCTTGACCTCAAAGTCTAGCTTCTTAGCAGAATCTACTACAAACATAACCATATCATTTTCCTCTAATTTATCCCAAGCTTTGGTGACTAATAATTTTGACCTCATCGAATCACTAGCTTTTGTAATACCTGGAGTGTCAGTCATTGCTAACTAAACTTTGCTTTCGATATCTGTATAGACTCCAATAATAGCTTCATCAGTAGTGTTGTATTTATTACTTACTGCAGATATATCTCTCTCAGTAATGTAGTTTAGTATACTAGACTTTCCAGCATTAGGGGCTCCAATTATACAAATTTCATTTGTTTTAGCACCTAGAGGACTTTCAAATTTGCCCATATTTAACATAGCCAGGGCCTCCATTGGAACCTAGTAATAAGGAGTCAGGTTCTTTGGTGGGACTTTATATGAAACTATGTTGGCATCTTTCTCATACAGATTAATAGGATGCTAAACTGGTTTGAGTTCCAATGTCTCTGGTTTAGGCCTTCTGATTTCAAGGAAGTCAGTATTCTGAGAGTTATATCCATCATAGAGTTTGTTTTCATTCTCATTTTTCTCACGCTTATACAATGTATCTTTCTATTTCTTAGAAGCGTACTTGACGATTCTTGATACTTAGGAGAATTTTCTAAAATTAAGTAAAATTAGAGCCATTAAAATGTTTCTTAAATTAATGTAATCACTGAATAATTTATTAATTTAAAAATAGTTCATTCACAAGATGGTTGAATTAAACAAACTAAGCGTAGAAGTAAGTAAAGATTCTGTAAAATTTGAGGCTGGTAAAATAAAAGTTTCAAGTGGAGTAATTTTTGCCACTATATCAATAGCAAGTATAGCAGCTGGATTCGCTTTATATAAGCATATTGGTTCTAAAGAAAAGATAGTGAATATAATCAGAGGAGGTGGAATGCTTATGGATGCCTTCTAAATCTTTTAGAATAAATTTATGAATACTAATGGAAAAAAATTTGATTTAAAGTCAATCTTCCCTAATAGTTAATTTTGAATTTATAAATTCGATTCTCCTTCTTACAATCTATGGGGTTTTGGGGTTTTGGGGTTTTGGGG